AGGACTGTGGGCTCCACTAATTGGTAAAGGCTGTCACTAATGTTATACATCTTACTTAGAGGACTGTGGGCTCCACTACTTGGTAAAGGCTCTCACTTGTAATTGGTCTGGACAATGGAGGAATGACCCATGTTTCATGAAACATTGAAGTGCTTAGAAAGTCGCGCCACAAATCCTGTAGTAGCAGAACGCTGTAATGCAAAGTAATGGCTCAAGACAGAATTGATAGTGTTGAACATATGCCATAGTTTGGGCAAATATAAGCTGGTACTAAGAGGCTTTAGTGTGTTCTGTGTGTGTAGAGAGTTTGTTGTCAAGGTTTTACAGGTGAAAACAGTACAGGTGTATTACATGTCATTGTGTTGCGTGATAAAACAGTTATATACTGGTTACATTTGTTGGCATTCTTATGTCAAACAGTACATTTCATTGCACTTGTATGTCAAACAGTGCATTTGACAGCACTAAATGCATGTCATTCAGAACATTAGATTGCACATGTATGTCAAATAGTGCATTGGATGGCAGTGACTGTGTGTCAATCAATACATTTGAAGGCACTCGTATGTCAAACAGCACTTTCAAGAAAAACAAAAACTGATGTATGAATGGAAAGATCATTACAGCTGTAGAACTGGGGACATGTAGACTAAATTTCACTTGGAATTTCCACATATGACAGATAATATGTAGGACGTCGGTTAATTAGAAGGAGATACTAATGGAAACAAGTGGTGAAAAAACAGGTTGAAATTCCATAAGGAATTTCAAAAACTGTCATAGTGTTTTGCTTTGAATAACTTGATTCAAGTAGTTCATTCCAAACACTTTCCTTATGGATTTGATCTTCAATGGTGAAGAAATGCTCAATTTGGAAAAGTTTATTTTTATTTGTCGGTAGTCCGTCCTATGTTTAGTGGATTGGAAAATAAAACCATTGCAGACGTCTGATTTGGCAGACTTTTGATAGCTTTTGTGTCACATTGTAAATTTGGTGGCAGTTTTGTGTCACACCAGTTTTGCTTCAAACAGTATGTTTTGGTTGCAGTTATAATTAATTTGTACTGAAGATATCTTTGCAGTTTTAACAGAAATCTTTTAATTCAATAATGAAACAGATGTTTGGTGCCCGTAAGTCCTCTTCTAGCACACACCTAGGAGCCAGTAATTCCACTTAATTGGATCAATAGAGCTCTGGGTGATACCAGACATACACATCTCTTACAGGGACTGCCTATAGAGTCTGTATAGTTAAGGGTGATGAATATTAAAGGCCATTGTAAATTTTGATGGATGTTAGAGAGATACTTGTGTAATTTGACAAACTATTAAAGAAACACTTTTCGCATCTGATGAATGTCGAAATGAATTTTGGAGTGGATAGGATTTTTCCATTGATATCAGGAATATCAACAACAACATATATCATTGTGGTGTTGTTGATTCTAACATAAAGATTAACTGCATAGTTTAATGTTTGGATAGTGTCTTTATTGTTTTTTTCAGTATTAAATGTTCAGTGTATTCCAAGGATGTTGATGTTACAATCAGTTATCTATTGTCCCTGTATTTGATAATTTCTGTAAATTAAGTTGGTGGATGATACGGTCCTGAAAAGGGTTTGTGTGAGAAACAAACATCTTCATGTTCATTACTTAAACACTAGCAGATGTTAAGCAGACTTTTATCTGTTCTCTAAATTATTATAATGTCTGTCCCTTTATTTCAGTATCATCTGTTATATTCTATATTAGCCAGACAAATCCCTGTGACATTCTTCACTTGCATGTTTTGAATCCATTCAAGTTTATCTAAGAAAGCGGAACACGTCACTTTAAAGAGATATTTTAATCCACTTATTGATGTGGCTTCAGCGATTCCTGGCTACAGAAATACTGCCTATATCTCAGACAACTATTATTTAACAAGAAATGTATATCCTGTGAAATTTAAAATCAATACTGAGCCAGCAGATCTTGCTTTTGGAGCCCAATATGGAATTATTTATTGTTGATATTTAGGCCAATTTGTCCTTATGCTCGGATTGACAGAAGTATATGAATTGATAATATGTACAAATGGGTATCATTTTAATATTGTTTTCCATTTTTTGTTTAAATGGGTAGCAAACATGATTCTGTATACCTCCATGCAATGTAAACCAATGAACAAGATAATACTGTGAGGTACAGTTTGAATGATATGGGTTTTTCTGGATGTCTAGTATTGTGAGCCCACATTTTCAGTAACATAGCATTTCCCAAGTGCTTTTGGTCGTTTTTTTTTCAATTGCAATTAAAAAAGGTTGTAACATGTGAATATTGAACTTTAAAATTTCTGAAGGCTGACTCATCTGCATTGTGTAGGAAAAGACTTCAAAATAAATAGATGAGTTTCACCATTTTATAAAGAAAAAAATCCCATGGATTTATCACAGCAGAGAAAATGGCTGTAGAACATACATGTAGTCCTGTAATACAATTAGGCCCCCTACACCTTGAGATACGGGCCACAGAGGCATGGCACACTGCTCCAGTACGTGGGCCACATCTTTGCAACAGAAATGGCAAGGGACTGATGTAGCAGACTTCTCCTTGTAGCTGTATGTAGTCAAGATTTCTTCTAACTGAAATCACTTGATCTCTGAACAGTTATTATGTTACTGGTATTTCCTTCATTATTGTTGGCTCTGTTTAGCACATATCTGATCCATTTATGTTGGGAAGTGACCTTTGTTTTCTGCTTTGAAAGCCCTGTGGTAAATGGTCATGAATAGATTGACCCTCAGCTTCTTGTGTCATGTTTCAACCTGTGAAACTGTGTGTATAAATAAAATGCTTGGAATAAACGAACAAGTAGATCCTTTTTCCTCGTCATGCTTGCGCCATTAAGAGCCAGTCATTTTAGGGTGAGATCTCCTTTAAACAGGTCTGTGAAACCTCACTGAACATTGTGCAGAAGTCCTGCTGCATGATATCCGAAGTAAATAGGGTAGAAATGTTTCGCCTAAAGACAAAACTTTGACAGCACAGAATCGTCCATGATTTAATTTTCCTGAGAAACACAAAAGTAGCCATCAAGTCACTCACAGACTTTGGATCTCAATTTAACTACAGTTGTAAAGTCTGACGTACAGTTATCACACCAACTCTTGTAGCCTACAGTGCAAACATATTATCTGAGAATCAAAGTCAGGGCACTATTACAGGACAACAATATAGCCTTTGTTAGCGCTGAACACCCATTGATAGGGCTGGCCTTATCAGCAGGCATCAGGTTATTGCACTGGGTTGATTAGCTGGCATCAGCTATGCAGAAATTCATAACATTTTTGAAACCTTAACTAGGTCAACAATCAGTAAGAATTGATGTGCAAGATTGATTCTACACTCTAAACCTATCAGTAAAGTATAACTGTAAACAGTGGAAGTGTAAACTTATTTTAAACACTTCCAACAGTAAACTGTATGCTAGTGTGTAACAATAAGGCCAATTATTAACATCGCTTTATTGTTAAACACTTTTAACTGGAAACCATTATCAACTTGTCCTTATTGTTACACACTTCTAATTGTAACCTAGAAACCATTTATCTTGGCCTTATTTTTAAACACTTGTAACTGTAAACCATTATTAACTTGTCCTTATTGTTACACACTTCTAATTGTAACCTAGAAACCATTTATCTTGGCCTTATTTTTAAACACTTGTAACTGTAAACCATTATTAACTTGGCCTTATTGTTACACACTTCTAATTGAAACCTAGAAACCATTTATCTTGGCCTTATTTTTAAACACTTGTAACTGTAAACTTGAAACCATTATTAACTTGGCCTTATTGTTACATTGTTAGACAATGTTTGGTTCGCTGACGCAAATCAAAGTGTAAATAAAAACCTCTTAAGGAAGGTAAAGACAAGAAGCTGTAGGAAGCCATTAGCACCACTTCCCTATGGACATGTATCTGATCAACATTATTGTAGTCTCCAGGATATAGCAGATGGAGTTTAGTCACATAGGTCCTGATACTGAGCAGTGATTTTCAAAGACAAATCAATATTAGAGCCGGCCTATTTGCTGTATACAATTACCAAGTATAGTTTAAAACAAGCCTATAGATGTAGATAATTATCTGAGCTGCACATGGGATTGAATTCTGATCCACATCTAGAAACACAGGAGACCTAGAATTCTGTGATTAATATTCCCACTCCATACTTAATTAATGGCTGTTGGCTCCCTGTTGTTTGAGTTTATTGTAATCATACAATAACACTCCTTATTAGCTCCGTGAACTGGCCCTTTGGGAGTTGTGATGAACCCAGAGGTATACATCATATTCTATAGTCCTTATTTGTAGATAAATGTAAACAATTTTGACTATATTGGTCAGAAATAATTGCTTGGAATACAGATGTATATAATTACATGACAGTTAAGATAATGTCTTGTACTTAAAACAAAGCCATATAAAAATATAGTGATTTAAGAATACACCAATGTTGTGGTATTACAGTTTCAGCATTTGAGGTTCTTTGATGGATATTTATTTTGTTGTTGTTGTTGTTCAGAGAATTCAGTCAGATTGTACTGTTTCTGGAGTCTGGGTGTAAATTATTCTTCAGCTGATATGTTGTGTGAGTTATGTTTAATGTGAGTTATGGACTATGATTATGTTGACATGTTGGTATTTTTTTATTGTTTCAATAGTGTAGGTAACAAATCTATGTTACTAAAGTGACACACAGACCTTGATTTTATAAAGTAAACTTAAAGACAGAATGAATTTGTTATACAACATAACAAATTTACTCCATCATCTATTTTTTGATGATGTTTAAAAAGGTCAACGAGAACAATCATTTCGATAATATTAGATGATAAATAAATTTACATACTTTTGAATTATTGTGTACAATGTTTGAAAAGCTACAGCTGGTATCTTCCTGGTGTATAAAGATACGTTTTTCTATGAATATTTGTTTTCTGTTATTACAGAGAGCGCCTTCCAGGAGATGGTGAAGCAAGTCTGGAAGAGTTTGGTGATGACGATGATGATGGGATCGACTGTCTAGAAGATGATTATGTTGGCGGTTCTGATGGTGAGACAGCATTAAAATATAGACAGAAAAAAAAATCAAATTCAGATTAAGATTTTTCAGATTTAAACTGTTGTAACCAAGTACAGTAACTGTTTCAGTAATTTGTAATTTTGTGTGTATTTTATAGATGTTTTGTGTAATGTTCCAGTGGTAGGGCAGTATACTTATTCTTCCTATTCCAGGTGAATCAGATGGCTATTCCATCACCAGCAGTATTTCCAGACAATCATCTGCAGCTCGATCGCGGGCAAGATCTGCACGCCGCTCTGCAGCACGATCTGCCAGCTCCACAAGTGGTGACGATTCACGACCTCGCACTGCCAAGTTGTCAGCATCGGCAACCACCACAACTGAACAGGAAAAAACACTTCACTCTCCTCTTCGACCAAGTCTTTTCCCAAATATTCCTCCCACTGTCAACTTTGTTGTCGAGGGTGAGAAAGGTAGGTCATTCACTTACTATTTTACTCTTGTTATTATATGGAGGATATTTAATGGTACAGTATAAATAATACATATAATATATATAATATACAGTAATGACTGACACGAGAAACTAGTTACTGATTCCAAATATCAACATTTGCTAATTGTGGTACTTGAAGTCATGACGACATACTCCCACAGTTAATGAGAAAGTTTTACGCCTGATGAGCAGTAGAAAATATGGCTTTCAAAGATTATCAAATATAAGCCAGGGTAAAGAAAATCTTTATCATAAATGTTTTATGATACAAGCAATTTCTTTGTTACAGGCCACTTTTTACCTATTATGCTTCTTTTTGACAGTGGAACAGTTGCCATGGGAATATAGAAAGCTTCTCAAGTGGAGAATGAGTCCTATAACACCAAACATTGTCAAACACACCCTAGCTCGTGTAGGGTTTCGAATCACCAAACGTAAGTCTATTAAGGCATAGAAGATGAAGTTGGATTTAGTCATCAGAGTGGTTGTTTAAGTTGACTGTAGAGTAGAGAAGTTTATAAAGTTAAAGGGATTTTAATTTTTCTTTGAAAATGACAAACATGTGGATTATTTGTTATCTTTGTTACTTATACCCAAACATTCTGGTAGTTAGTAAGGAAGTCTCTGGGTCTCTTTAGACATACTCCCAAGCATTGCTAAACAAACCTACAACACAATCGTTGGAACCCTATTGTATTACTCTAAACAGTGCCAAACTCACGAATCACCAGTCAATACTAATTTACTACTCGAAGGAAAGCTTCTGCAGTCTTCTATTACAGCCGTCAGGACAGAATGACTCTAGCTGTGGATAATAGCTGTGACTAAGACATGGAAATGTTGTTTACAAGGAATAAAGAAGTCACTTTAAATTGAAACAGTTGTGTAGAGGTGTGGATGTAGTCACACCACACCAACATTACTGATTAGGTTCCTGTTTACACACAATCGTTGACGTCACTCCTTCTGTCATTAAAACCTACTTCAAAGTTTTTTCTGTATAATATCCCTGCTATTTTAGGAACTTTTCCTGCTTAACTATCGTTTAATATATAAAATGACTCATTTGATGAGAGTAGGAATATCTACCCATGGTTTGTGGTCATGCCTGTTATCATTGATGATAAAGCAATTTACTTATCAATTATTCCATAAAAGAACTTTTCAAAAACAAATATTCTCAAAACACGAAACTCATATCAAAATTTACAGATATAGACTCTTAAAGAGATTGTGACCAATATGGACATCTTATGTATATCTAAGATTTTTAATTATTGTCTTTATTGATATCAAACCTCTCTGGATAGACTTACCCTCGTTATAAGATTCTCATTCAATCCTGTAAAGTTGGCTTTAAAGGGAGGGACAATGTACTCCAAAGTACTTATGTTATTTACCAAAATCAAACATGTTTCCAACCCTATGTCAGTTTAACAATTTTGTTTCTTAGATTTAGCAAAGTGTTCTGATGTGCACTGACTACAACTGTCTTTTATGTTAAGGGTTTATTTTCTGTATGTCTTACCTGCTCTGTGTAGTAATAGCTGTTGTTTCATTTGCAGGGAATCATGATTGGCTGGGCTGTTGGGGTAAACACATGAAATCTCAGGGCTTCAAGGCAATACGAGAATATCAGAAGGTAAGGTCAAGGTGAAGTTAGGTGACAAGGTCAAGGCTACACATTCTGTGTTTTGAGGTCAAGGATGCAATTTGATATTATCCATGTTGTCATTGGTTTATTTTCTACAACATTTTAACATGCACTTGTGACTTATGCTCAGAGTTTTAGGTTAAAAGAGATAACAGTTTTGTTTTTGATTGAACATTATCATCATTGTCACGCTTGATTTAGACCACCTAAAGCAATCATAGTTGTACTAACAAGTACATGCTTTCTTTTCACAGTTGAACCATTTCCCAGGTTCGTTTCAAATCGGAAGAAAAGATCGTCTTTGGAGGAACTTGTCCAAAATGCAGTTGCATTGTGGGAAAAAAGAATATGGCTTTTTCCCTCAGACTTTTGTTCTGCCATATGACAATAAGTTATTGAAACGTGCATGGGAAGATGGTGGCAACAAACAGAAGTGGATAATTAAACCTCCAGCATCCGCACGTGGCATCGGGATTAAGGTTATCAGCAAGTGGAACCAGATACCTCGTAAACGAGCAGTGATTGTACAGAGGTAGGTTACATAGTATTGTAATCATTACTCAACAGGATGATAGGAGAATCAACCGTTTTATATTGCTACTATAGAACACCTCTGGTGGGGTATCAGGATGATGGGAGAGTCAACCATTTTATATATCATACTATAGAACACCTCTGGTGGGGTATCAGGATGATGGGAGAGTCAACCATTTTATATATCATACTATAGAACACCTCTGGTGGGATATCAGGATGATAGGAGAATCAGCCATTTTATATTGTCATACTATAGAACACCTCTGGTGGGGTATCAGGATGATGGGAGAGTCGACCATTTTATATATCATACTATAGAACACCTCTGGTGGGATATCAGGATGATGGGAGAGTCAACCATTTTATATGTCATACTATAGAACACCTCTGGTGGGGTATCAGGATGACAGGAGAGTCAACCATTTTATATATCATACTATAGAACACTTCTGGTGGGGTATCAGGATGACAGGAGAGTCAACCATTCTATATATCATACTATAGAACACCTCTGGTGGGGTATCAGGATGACGGGAGACTCAACCATTTTATATATCATACTTAAGAACACCTCTGGTGGGATATCAGGATGATGGGAGAGTCAACCATTTTATATTGTCATACTATAGAACACCTCTGGTGGGGTATCAGGATGACAGGAGAGTCAACCATTTTATATATCATACTATAGAACACTTCTGGTGGGGTATCAGGATGACAGGAGAGTCAACCATTCTATATATCATACTATAGAACACCTCTGGTGGGGTATCAGGATGACGGGAGAGTCAACCATTCTATATATCATACTATAGAACACCTCTGGTGGGGTATCAGGATGACGGGAGACTCAACCATTTTATATATCATACTTAAGAACACCTCTGGTGGGATATCAGGATGATGGGAGAGTCAACCATTTTATATTGTCATACTATAGAACACCTCTGGTGGGGTATCAGGATGACAGGAGAGTCAACCATTTTATATATCATACTTAAGAACACCTCTGGTGGGGTATCAGGATGATGGGACAGTCAACCATTTTATATTGTCATACTATAGAACACCTCTGGTGGGGTATCAGGATGATGGGACAGTCAACCATTTTATATATCATACTATAGAACACCTCTGGTGGGGTATCAGGATGACAGGAGACTCAACCATTTTATATATCATACTTAAGAACACCTCTGGTGGGGTATCAGGATGACGGGAGACTCAACCATTTTATATATCATACTTAAGAACACCTCTGGTGGGGTATCAGGATGATGGGATGTAGGAGAAGGAGACACAACATTCGAAGGTGTCAACGTTTAAGTGTGAGAAAGGTGGAAGGGATCCAGCACATTAGTAAGGTGTCAGTGTGGACATGTGAGAAAGGTGGAGATAGTTTTTTTGTGGGAAAAAGATGGAAAGGATCCAACATGTTAGGAGGATGTCAGTGTATTTGTGAGAAAGAGGTAGAATGGATCCAGTATGTTAGGAGGATGTCAGTGTATTTGTGGGAGAAAGTTAGAATGGATCCAGTATGTTAGGAGGATGTCAGTGTATTTCTGGGAGAAAGTTAGAATGGATCCAGCATGTTAGGAGGATGTCAGTGTATTTGTGAGAAAGTGGTAGAATGGATCCAGTATGTTAGGAGGATGTCAGTGTATTTGTGGGAGAAAGTTAGAATGGATCCAGTATGTTAGGAGGATGTCAGTGTATTTCTGGGAGAAAGTTAGAATGGATCCAGCATGTTAGGAGGATGTCAGTGTATTTGTGAGAAAGAGGTAGAATGGATCCAGTATGTTAGGAGGATGTCAGTGTGTTTGTGAGAAAGTTAGAATGGATCAAGCATGTTAGGAGGATGTCAGTGTGTATGAGGGAGAAAGTTAGAAAGGATCCAGCATGTAAGGAGGATGTCAGTGTGTTTGTGGGAGAAAGTCAGAAAGGATCCAGCATGTAAAGTTAGAAAGGATCCAGCATGTAAGGAGGATGTCAGTGTGTTTGTGAGAAAGTTAGAAAGGATCCAGCATGTTAGAAGGATGTCAGTGCATTTGTGAGAAAGGTAAGAATGGATCAAGCATGTTAGGAGGATGTCAGTGTGTTTGTGAGAAAGTTAGAAAGGATCCAGCATGTTAGAAGGATGTCAGTGTATTTGTGAGAAAGTTAGAATGGATCAAGCATGTTAGGAGGATGTCAGTGTGTTTGAGGGAGAAAGTTAGAAAGGATCCAGCATGTAAGGAGGATGTCAGTGTATTTGTGGGAGAAAGTTAGAAAGGATCCAGCATGTAAGGAGGATGTCAGTGTATTTGTGAGAAAGTTAGAAAGGATCCAGCATGTTAGAAGGATGTCAGTGTATTTGTGAGAAAGTTAGAATGGATCAAGCATGTTAGGAGGATGTCAGTGTATTTGAGGGAGAAAGTTAGAAAGGATCCAGTATGTTAGGAGGATGTCAGTGTGTTTGAGGGAGAAAGTTAGAAAGGATCAAGCATGTAAGGAGGATGTCAGTGTATTTGTGGGAGAAAGTTAGAAAGGATCCAGCATGTAAGGAGGATGTCAGTGTATTTGTGAGAAAGTTAGAAAGGATCCAGCATGTAAGGAGGATGTCAGTGTGTTTGTGGGAGAAAGTTAGAATGGATCCAGCATGTAAGGAGGATGTCAGTGTGTTTGTGGGAGAAAGTTAGAAAGGATCCAGCATGTAAGGAGGATGTCAGTGTATTTGTGAGAGAAAGTTAGAAAGGATCCAGCATGTAAGGAGGATGTCAGTGTATTTGTGAGAGAAAGTTAGAAAGGATCCAGCATGTAAGGAGGATGTCAGTGTATTTGTGAGAGAAAGTTAGAACGGATCCAACATGTTAGGAGGATGTCAGTGTGTTTGTGGGAGAAAGATAGAAAGGATCCAGCATGTAAGGAGGATGTCAGTGTATTTGTGAGAAAGTTAGAAAGGATCCAGCATGTTAGAAGGATGTCAGTGTATTTGTGAGAAAGTTAGAATGGATCAAGCATGTTAGGAGGATGTCAGTGTATTTGAGGGAGAAAGTTAGAACGGATCCAACATGTTAGGAGGATGTCAATGTATTTGTGGGAGAAAGTTAGAACGGATCCAGCATGTAAGGAGGATGTCAGTGTATTTGTGGGAGAAAGTTAGAAAGGATCCAGCATGTAAGGAGGATGTCAGTGTATTTGTGAGAAAGTTAGAAAGGATCCAGCATGTTAGAAGGATGTCAGTGTATTTGTGAGAGAAAGTTAGAACGGATCCAACATGTTAGGAGGATGTCAGTGTGTTTGTGGGAGAAAGATAGAAAGGATCCAGCATGTAAGGAGGATGTCAGTGTATTTGTGAGAAAGTTAGAAAGGATCCAGCATGTTAGAAGGATGTCAGTGTATTTGTGAGAAAGTTAGAATGGATCAAGCATGTTAGGAGGATGTCAGTGTATTTGAGGGAGAAAGTTAGAACGGATCCAACATGTTAGGAGGATGTCAGTGTATTTGTGGGAGAAAGTTAGAACGGATCCAGCATGTAAGGAGGATGTCAGTGTATTTGTGGGAGAAAGTTAGAAAGGATCCAGCATGTAAGGAGGATGTCAGTGTATTTGTGAGAAAGTTAGAAAGGATCCAGCATGTTAGAAGGATGTCAGTGTATTTGTGAGAAAGTTAGAATGGATCAAGCATGTTAGGAGGATGTCAGTGTATTTGAGGGAGAAAGTTAGAAAGGATCCAGTATGTTAGGAGGATGTCAGTGTGTTTGAGGGAGAAAGTTAGAAAGGATCCAGAATGTAAGGAGGATGTCAGTGTGTTTGTGGGAGAAAGTTAGAAAGGATACAGCATGTAAGGAGGATGTCAGTGTGTTTGTGGGAGAAAGTTAGAAAGGATCCAGCATGTAAGGAGGATGTCAGTGTATTTGTGGGAGAAAGTTAGAAAGGATCCAGCATGTAAGGAGGATGTCAGTGTATTTGTGAGAAAGTTAGAATGGATCCAGCATGTTAGGAGGATGTCAGTGTTTTTGTGGGAGAAAGTTAGAAAGGATCCAGCATGTAAGGAGGATGTCAGTGTGTTTGTGGGAGAAAGTTAGAAAGGATCCAGCATGTAAGGAGGATGTCAGTGTATTTGTGAGAAAGTTAGAAAGGATCCAGCATGTTAGGAGGATGTCAGTGTGTTTGTGAGAAAGTTAGAATGGATCCAGCATGTTAGGAGGATGTCAGTGTGTTTGTGAGAAAGTTAGAAAGGATACAGCATGTAAGGAGGATGTCAGTGTGTTTGTGAGAAAGTTAGAATGGATCCAGCATGTTAGGAGGATGTCAGTGTGTTTGTGAGAAAGAGGTAGAAAAGATCCTGTATGTCATGAGGTATGATGGTGTGTCCCAAACAAAGGCGAAAGAATTGTTGGCTGTCATAGTTCTATCACCAACACTAAATTTAATGAATCTGTGCTACAGGTATCTTGGGCGACCATACCTAATCAACGACAGCAAATTTGACATGAGGATTTACGTGTATGTCAGCAGCTATGACCCACTGCGGGTGTACGTGTTTGAGGATGGACTCGCAAGATTTGCCTCATGCAAGTAAGTACTAATTCCTTGTTTTATTAGTAATGAGTGAGATAAGCTGTCTTGATTCGAAAATGTCAGCATTCTGTCACTCGCACATGGGAACTGTTTTTAGGCATTATGTTTACTTCTTAGAATTTATAGACCTGAAGAGGTACCTGCTGTTGTTTGTATGTGGTTTTATGAAGCTACACTTATGAGAAGGTGATATGTATTTGTAGGAATCCTGGTGAGATAAATTATAGCCCATTAAATGTCTATCTGTATTATATACTAGTGTAACAGTGGTAATTTTTCCAATGCCTCTGCTAGAATTTGAACCTTGGACCTCTGGTGAGCTGTTGTCTTACACTCAATTGATCAAGCCTATGAGTAGGTCTCTCTAGCCAGTATATACCAGGGTTACACTATGTGTATGATGTAGCTATGCCACTTCTACCGTAATCTGTTATCAGCTTTGGTAAATGAAGTTATCTTTTCTCAGGTACTCTTCATCCATGAAGAATCTCAACAACAAATTCATGCATCTCACCAACTACAGCATTAACAAGAAAAATGATGATTACCAGGCCAACGGTGATGAGAAACTGTGTCAAGGTCACAAGTGGTAAGCTTCAAAGGTCATAGAGGGAAAAACTTAACTAAATGCAATAAATTATCAAAAGGTGACTTTTAAGACCATGAATACCATAAATATAGAAGTAATGGAAGGATAGAGAGTTGTAATAGATCCATGACAAATTGTTAGACTGAAAGTCTAAAGCTCTTTCAACTCCGTCTACATGGTAAGTTTGTACCAAGGGCAAATGCATCTACCTTATGTGTCTGATTAATACTGAATTACAAACTGATGTAATAAGTTCTGGTTAAATATTCTTTTCTTTTTTTTTTTGATGCAGTATAAAGTCTAGACTGGTTTTTTGTTAGCAGTTGAATAAATAAAATCCAATTACATCAGGCAATGATAGGGAAGTCTCCCAGCCCGACTTTTATCGGCAGCACAAATAAATAAAACAACAGAACGAAAAAAGGTTCAAAAGGGCAGAAAAACTACAGAAAGTATAATGGGATACAGATTAAGCATTCTTTTTCATCTCGTAAACACCTGAAATGGATCAAGTGTAAAGATCAAAACATTTCACTCAAAACATCAAAAGCAGTTGATCAATAAGAACAGTATAAGGTTCATTATTATGTAATAGGCGTTGATCTGCCTGTGTATACTGTTTACTAAACAGGTACTGCTGTCTTGGTTAATGTTAAAGTTCTCCAGTGTAAAGTTAACAAACTTATATAGAAAATAAAACTCCTGATTTTACTTTCTACCATTTGGAATGGTAGCTTGTTGCTGATAGATTCATAACCTTGGACTGTGGACAAGGAATCCATAACTGACTACAGAACAAAGTATCCCTGATAGAGTATAGAACAAAGTCTCCCTGATAGAGTATAGAACAAAGTATCCCTGACAGAGTATAGAACAAAGTATCCCTGACAGAGTATAGAACAAAGTATCCCTGACAGAGTATAGAACAAAGTATCCCTGATAGAGTATAGAACAAAGTATCCCTGATAGAGTATAGAACAAAGTATCCCTGACAGAGTATAGAACAAAGTATCCCTGATAGAGTATAGAACAAAGTATCCCTGATAGAGTATAGAACAAAGTATCCCTGATAGAGTATAGAACAAAGTATCCCTGATAGATGTGATGTCGAGTGAGTCCAAAGAAACACAAACTAAACGCCTTTAATGCTTTCCTTTATTACATATACAAAGTTCCTAGTTCCTATAGCCATAGTTCACAATCATCACAAACACAGTGTAGGGGTTCTTGGTTGCACCTAGCTTGCGCCCCAACCTGCGGTAAAAAACTGAAAAATACAGAAATTAACCTGTCCTTAGCACATATTTTGCCTTTAGAGCCACAAAACAAACATATTTCAACAAAATTAATCAAATTTCAAACGTTTAAACCGTATTAAAGTTACCTCATGGGTCACCTAAGCCTTGCTAAATCCGTAAGTCTGTTTCCACTTTCATTATATTCATTCCACGATGTACAAAGAATGCAACCCTGACCTGACTACCAGAGCAGACGGACAATATAAAACTAGCGTTTCACTACAATAGAGTATAGAACAAAGTATCCCTGATAGAGTATAGAACAAAGTATCCCTTTTAGAATGAATTATATTTAATGACAATTGTTGCTTTACTATCACATTATATTCATTATGTAAGCAACTGATCCTTGCATATTGCTGCTGTAGCTGACTTTTGAAGTGTATGTCACCATCTTTCAGATAAGGATTTGTAGGCAGGTATTTCCAAAAGACATTGCCAGGGTATATGGATTTTTAATTGGTAAAAAAATCTACAGTAAATGTGTGTTATCATTGTATATTGAGATGGACCTTAAGGGATTTGTAACTTGTAAACCTGTATTAATGATTGTTTTCACAGGGGACTAAAGGCACTGTGGAACTACATGAAGAGACAGGGTGTCAACACAGCCGCCATTTGGGAAAATATAAAGGATCTAGTCATCAAGACAATCGTGTGGTACGTTACTGAACCAACTATCACTGACTGTATCACTGTAAATACTGAAATGTTTCATGGAAATATTTATTTATTTCTATAACTTGATTTATCACCACACGATTGCCAATGCCTGTCAGGACCAGGTCTTAGTTCTAATTAAATCAATTTCAGTTTTTTTTTTCTTTCCAAACATAACCATGTACTTGATATTTCTCAAAATGTTTTCGGCCATGTAGATATAAATTACCTAGATTTTTTCTGAATACAGTGATAGTCTATATAATTGCTGGCTGCTTTTTTTTGCAAGTCTTCCATCATGGGATTTGCGAGAAAGTTGCTTCCAGTGATGGACTGTATAACAGGTTCACTTTGCCACAAACAAATTTCACCCATTTGGTATCCAAACCAAATACATGGCTATTGCTCTACCATTGTCATGTAATAAGCCCACCTCCCTACTTTTAGTTCCAGGGAATACTTAAGCTCCCAAGCCCTATTGCAGGATCAATACTATAAGCTTAACAGAGGCTGGATAAAAATTGATTGTCTTATTATATAAATCTGCTGTGAGATTCCTTTATCACAGCTGCAAGATATGTATGTTTACAGTGCGGACTCACCAATCAACAGTATGATTAAGGCTAATGTGCGTAGCCGCTACTGTATACATGAACTGTTTGGGTTTGACATCTTACTGGACGAGAACCTGAAGCCATGGATCCTGGAGGTCAACATCTCTCCAAGGTCAGTATTATCTGTTCAGTAATTCTGGATTTATAATCATCTACATTGTGTTTTATTAGTTTTGGTGGTTGGGGGGGGAGGGGGGGTATCTCGGTCAGGCTATATCTCCTACAGTTCTTGTCACTGGCACTTCATACTTGGGGTATAGCTCTAGATTGGTGTGTCATGTACCAAGCGTTGGTCACTCTGCCCTTTATTTTAATCTTTGGGCTACATCAAAGAAAAAGTTTGTTCATGAGCTGTTTACTCATCATTAACGTGCTGTACACATTCATTCAGTTTGCAAAAAGGTTATCTTTCATACTAGTATGAAATTAAAAAGTATTCCTAGCAAAGCTTATGTAACATGACAAATGTTCAGGTTATTTGGACTAAAACTAAAGTGATTGATATGTAAACGCAGTGGGTGTATTAGTTAAAACCTTCATTTTCAAACTTGAATATGTATAAACTTTAGCCCCTTTTTTCACCCTGTTTGCAAAAGGGTAACATGGGGAAGACTTTACCTTAAGAAATAAACGATAGAAATTTCTATGAAGGGATAATTCATATGAGACATGTGTGCTTTGTTACAATTTATATATTAGTAAAGCAAATCATTAACCTTTATCAGCATGTGTTATACATTACTTTGAAGGTCCAGATAACAGAGTGAAGGTCAGATAACTGACCACCCTTAATCATAGAAATAATGACATCTGTAATAACTGACTTTTCAATTTATATTTATATACATTTGAAATAGGATGTTACTTTTTTGTCAGTTTACATTCCAACTCCCAGCTGGATATCAATATTAAGGGACAGATGATTAGAGACCTTTTTAACATCGCTGGTTTCCGTATCCCTGAGAAAAATGATGTGGTTGTCCATACCAACCAGCCAACCACTTCAGACTTCAGTAACCATGTCCCTTCCAATGACTACTGTATGGACAAACGCTTGTTTGCCCAGAACCACTCACCGGATGAGCGGAGCAAGCATGCATACTACAGCCAGCGACACCAAGACGAGGTAATTTGGTACATTCATGTTGTGCTACCCTTTAAAACATTTCATCTGTGTAGACTTCTGTAGTTATTATTTTATGATAGAGAAAAAAATCTAGATACTGTGCAAGGACAAAAAAAAAAAAAAAAAAAAGGTGCAGTTGTTGAAGTGACAAGATTCTAGAATTTGGCTCTGGATATGAAATTTTTTATGATTCTTGGACTGCTTTCTCTAACCTTTATTACTTACATAATAAGGAATGGACAAAGATTTTAAGACATCACCTACCAGCAGAAATTACAAACTATTAAAACTTCTATCACAAGGATTTCATACATCAGGCTGGATCATGCCTCACCTTTGCTTATAACAATGAAAGTAAAAACCCAAACAATTGCGGCAGTTCTTTTTTTTCAGTTATGACTGAAGATTTTCTTATGAATGTTTGTTTTAATTAATAGTATCAGGTTTACTTCTGTAGTTCTGCACCCTCATGCTAATTGTTACAAAAAAATTAATTTTAGCTGTTCAGATAATTGGTATTGTTGGTGAATTTCAGCAAGTATTGCAGACAATCTTGGACGTATTGACACCCGACGACATAAGAATATTGACAGAAAGTATTGACGAGGACAGTCGCAAGGGCTGTTTCCAGCGTGTGTTCCCCACTCCAAGCACACACAAATACATGCATTTCTTTGAGACACAACGCTACTACAACTTACTGTTGGACCAGTATGTACAACGCTTCAACAGGATGGAACAAAAAGGTATGGATGAAGATCACAACATACTGGTCAGATATATGGGGACAGTATATGATAATAGATATCAAATTTTGTGAAAACGACCTATTTCCTTTTAACAATTCTCACCAAGGAATTTTTACTATATAAGCCTGGTAATTTGTATCATATATAGCTCTTTTGTAGAGAAACATGTTGAGTTATTTATAAATTACTCAAACTACACACAGAGGTAACATCAGTTTAAAGGGTCTGTTATATGTAATGAGATTTTGAACTGATAACGATTACTAACATTAAGAACACCACACACAGGTAACATCAGTTGATATGGCCTATCACTAACATAAAGTACATTCTGGTAGCTTGTTAATGACACAATATCTGAATATTCCATGTTTTATAGGTATCGCTCTGCTAGAACTTTATTGTGATGAAGGTGTACATCTCCAAAATCCAACAGACAATCCATATCACCAGGTAAGTGCTTAACAGTGACAATTAAACAGTGTGTTACACACAGTATTGTACTAGTGGTAATTAAAGTTGCTAATACTGTTCCTTGATTTGTAATAGTTACAGCAGATTAACTTCAGATGTTTTATGTTTTTGATGACATATTACCAGCGATAATATAAACAAATCTTTTTAAAAAATTGTAAGATCACTACAACCTTTGTCCTTTCAGTGGGCCCCACCAACTTCAGGTTTGAACAGTTTCCGCGGTGAGCCGCGGATGCAAAGTGCACCACAGCCAAAACATGACATTCGTGCTGCCATGCATGTGAGGTCGAGGTATGTGAAGGCGGAGCCAGTATTCCTCGAGCTGTTTGTCATGAACTTCATGTATCTGTCACAGATACTCATGCCATTTTCGTTCCCTCGCCAGGGTGTTACAGGGTCCATAGCAGATGATACTTAGGTCACAGGGTCCATAGCAGATGACACTTAGGTCACAGGGTCCATAGCAGATGATACTTAGGTCACAGGGTCCATAGCAGATGGAATTTAAGTCACAGGGTCAATAGCAGATGGAATTTAGGTCACAGGGTCCATAGCAGATGGAATTTAGGTCACAGGGTCTATAGCAGATTGAATTTAGGTCACAGGGTCTATAGCAGATTGAATTTAGGTCACAGGGTCTATAGCAGATTGAATTTAGGTCACAGGGTCTATAGCAGATTGAATTTAGGTCACAGGGTCTATAGCAGATTGAATTTAGGTCACAGGGTCCATAGCGGATGACACTTAGGTCACTGATTCCATAGCAAGCAACACTCAAGTCACATGGATTAAAGCAAACAAAGCTTAGGTCACATGGTCTAAAGGAGATATCACTTAAGTTTCAGATTCCATAGCAAACACTACATAAGTCACAGAAAAAATGGCAGACATCATTTAGATAACAAGTACCATAACAAATGACACATAGTCAATGGATCATTAGACAATAAGGTGAATGATATGACATCTTTACTCCAAGTGAAGTAAGCTTGGTTTATGTAGCACCTCATCAGCCTGCATATAGTCAAATTTCTGTGATTCCAAATATTGTTTATCTGTGTTTAGTGGAGGAGGTTATCGGAGGAGTTACTGAGATATGTGTATGTTTGTATAGCTTTCTATATCTGTGCCTCCACTGATATTTACTTCTATAGCAAACCTTTATACACCTTCATCACAAAACAAATGCCTATATATCAGAGAACATTTTTGAGATACAATGTTGGTTTTGTAAATGTATTTTGTTAAAATGTCTTCATGAAGACTGCCTATGGTTGATTGTACCTATATTTATATACACTGTCTAACTCGGCTGTTGTTATGGTTACCTTTTACTTTTGATTTCTTCCGAAAGTGGCTTTACTTGTTTATAGGTTAGCATAGATTTGAAGCTCAAACTTCATATCGGCTGTGTATTTTTTCTGGATGAAAAAGTTGCCAAAATAAGAAATACCTCCCTGTTTCCATGGTTATTTTGTTATCTTTATCGTACAGTCATTGCCAAAATCAGTTTCCAAATCAAAGTTTGTGTATGAAATGAAGAGTGGTCTCTCTGGGGTGAAAATTTGTACAGTATCAATGTAATTTTTTAAAAAAAATGTTTCTAGATTGTATATAATTTTTAAGTTTACCAAAAGTGTGTTGAACCTTGCTAGGAATAGATTGTCCAGACATCAGTCAAACAATGCATTATAAACTCACCAAATAAACCAAATGTCATGTTCATTTTGTTTCGGTTTGATTTTAGCATTCGCAGAATTTGAGCATGTTGGTTTTTGGTGAAAATGTGAGGATTCTGACCTCTCGTATTCTTGGCTTTTGATATTGTGTATATACATACATGTGGCTGTTTATGACTGAGGTAGTGATATCATAGGTAGCTAGTTCATGTACATATATTTGTTTATGGCAGAGATAGTGGTATTGTGGGTACCTGATAATGAACATGTATTTGTGACTGAGGTAGTGATATTGTAGGTACCAGGTACATGTATTTGTGGAAGAGATAGTGGTATTCTGCGTACCTGGTACATGTACATTTGTTTGTGGCAGAGATAGTGGTATTGTAAGTACCAGGTACATGTATTTGTGGCAGAGATAGTGGTATTGTGGGTACCTGGTACATGTACATGTATTTGTGACGGGTAGTGATATTGTAGGTACCTGGTATATGGATATGTATTTGTGTGTTTGTTGTAAACCTTGGTTTCTATTATAAAGATGTACCTAGTGTATAACAAATGTATTACATTGTAGCTCCCTAGTGTTTCCAGCATATATATCTCTTGGTGCAAAATGTTCAGCATATGGCTCTGTGGTTCTGTATGTCCAACAAAACTCCTTACTATTTGGTTCTTTTATGTTTTTCATAGCTCTGTGATTCTGTATGCCCAACAAAGCATTTTTGTTCCATTTTCCAGCATAGTTTAGTGGTTACATACCTTAGTTTTGAATGCCAAGCTTAGCTCCTTGGTACAATATGTCTAGCATAGTGTATTCAGCATATCTCTCTGTTACACTATACAACTTCTTGTTTGTATGTTTCACAAGAGTGTGGCTGAAGTTTTAAAGTTTGGAGTTAATGGAGATACAGCTAGGTGCTACCACAATTGAGAAAAAAAGCATTATACCTACTCCAGTCCTTGTCATATTTCAAAGGATTTATATTTTGATGAAATGATTTTTTTTAGGATACATGATGAAAGCAGTTGATACTGTAGTTAATGTTTGCTGGAAATGGAAATGTTAATTTAAGACATGTCTTACTCTGCACATTTTCAAGGTTACAGCTGTGAAAAGTAGACTTGCGTTGGTGATTTATAACTTGTATTGTAACTGTCTGTGATAAATGGTTTTTATTGGAATATGAACTGAAACGTGTACATCCACACTCTATCAGCACTTTCCCTGTAGTATAAATGTGATTGGTGTATTTGTAATATTGGTCCTGTATGATTTTAAACCACACTGAAAAACTGATGTAGGTGTCAACAAGTTTTCAGACTTTCTTACACCTATAGGATATAAGGAAAATTATCACTCTTCTATCAAAACAAATTGTCTTCTAATACTGGTCCATTCTATAAATACATGTACTTATATATTCACTCAGTGTTGTGTTGTATTGTGTTGTATGTTCGCTCAGTGTTGTCATTTGTAGCTGTTGTATTTGAACAAGTTTGTGTACAGAGAAATATCATTGCAATGTTTCAGAATGTCATTTTGTCATGATAACGATGCAATAAAGATGTATTAAGCCAGAAATTGCATTTACAAATTGTAAATACTTATATAGATTTTGTAGTTTCTGAAAAAAAGAGACTGCCTCCTAGTCAACAGGTTTATTGTTTGAAGGTAATGTATAGTAGTATATAATACAGACATTCTGAAGTCATTCTTTGTGACAATATAACTTAGTGATTGTTGATTGGCTCCTAAGTGTTGTCATGTGATGTACAGTGTAACCTTTATGTGTATTACACACAATGATATCCATGTACCCACCGTCCACATATAAGTTTCATGTTTACAGATTTCGTCCGGAGGATGTTTATTGCTGGGGGTGTGGGAATGAGTAGGGGGTTAGGGCCTTTAACATAATGTTTTCAGACAAAATTCATCTTTACCGGTTACCTGACAAGGTGGTAGGAACAAAATCAAAAGAGTGGCTAATTATCTACAATGCACTGATTTAATTTTCTAATCTGCATGCAGTGGTTATTTAAAAAACTTTTAGTTCAGTCAATTTCTTACTTTGGCTTTGATGCTTGCAGAAGTCCTTTGGCTTTGATGCTTGCAGAAGTCCCTATAAATAAAACTTAAGTCAATGCTCAATGTTTTGATTTCTTCTCAGATTTGTTTGTAATGGAAATCAATCAATCTTGTAGAAAATGTTGTTAATATAATCCTGGGAAATTAAATTGAGTATTTTCTGGGGAAAAAGTGAACAAATTCATTTGTTGTGATAGAAGGGCTATCAACAAACTCAATCTCTGGTCCTGCAGAGTTAGGCAGATTTTCCACACCTTGCTTGCATTGGCTGAAAACACTGATAACTTGTTTCCCACTGATTTATCAAGTTTTGTTGAAACTGAGACTTTTGCGAGTCGTACACTGAGCCACCACACAGATCCTATTTTATTTATTATTGTACTTTTGCTATGATTTGAAATGCATGACGAATGATTGTTTATGGTTTCGTTTTGTTTTTTCTCTCACTTTCCATGTAGTGTATCAACTTCACAATTGCCGAAAGTGTCTAAAAAGCCACCTCGAGCCCCTGCCGTAGCAATCCACAGCCATAGAACGGCATCCCAGTCTAGTAGTGCATCATCAATGACTTCACCTGGGGAAACAACGCCTATTACAAATTACGCAAATGTTGCATCATTATCAGCCACTAAGTCTAGATGACTGGCGGTCCGTCTGCCCCCTCTCAAGGACCTCTTCAACGGTAATGTGCCCATGTTCAACTCCAAACGCTATCAACGCCACCATAACACAAAATCAGGACTCACAAGCCGAAGCTGTGAGTCCACCCGCAAACAACCACCTCCAAAGAAAGTTGTTAAAAAGAAGAGCAGCAAATCTGTGCAAATGGAACAGTTCTTCTCCTGATTGGGAAAACCTGTTCTTTAGTGCCAAATTTAACTGACAAAGTTGATTGTGATCTCTTCTGTAACTTGCACACATTTGAAAGTTTGCATGACAGCTTTAATTTTTTAGTGGTTTTTGAATCTTGGTACTTTGTGTTGGAGTAATAAACAAGCATATAGGAGACATCACAATATGAAAGGCTCATCGCCTGGGTGCTCATTGTCATCATTTTCATTCAAGCATATCATTTATTTATTCCATAATGCATAGGTAATGTACTTAAATTTTAAAAAAACTCTGAGAAATTCACTGTGAATTGTGTAAATTTTTCTTTTATGTTATCTATACTTTGTCCAGGTTTTTATAATTTGATTGTGATTAATTAAGATTTGCACAGTGAGTTCAACAGGTGACTCACATATAACGTAGGAAGAATGGAACATTTGCCATTGTGGTAATCATCCTGTAAAATTTATGCATGAGAATCTAATAGTGAAATGCAATACTTTGAATAAGAAAGGTGAAAATTAATATTTTTTTAACAAAAAATAATAATGATAAAATAATAAGTGAAGAGGAATATGTTTTGACGCGATATTTTCTTCCTCTGCTGTACTTATTACTTTCATTATTTTATCTTTTTTGAAATCTTGATTTTTTTTTTTCTTTACATAAATTTGATTTATTGTAGGAAGCTTAACTTGACATTCTAAAAAAATTTAGTTTTTCTTTTAAAAAAGTTACATAGAATTTCTCAGAATTTTATACAAACCATACCTCATGATGTACATGTATGTTGTTTATTTTTGTGATTCCCTGAGGCTAACATGACAATTGTTTCTTGCCTAATAAGTAAACTCCAATCCTACAGATACACTAAAGCAGTTTATGCCCTGCAGGCCAGCATAATATCAAACTTGTCTGGCTCCTGATTTCTCAGTTGAGTAACACTTTGCTATGACTTGAATTTTTTTTTATAAATATTTTACTCATCAAATCAATTACTGGTATAACTGAATTCTATAGCCAGCCCATTTGGTTACAGATTCCAATGAAATAAAGATGGCTAATCAGTTAACAAACCTCAACGTCACTGATCATTGTATAACAGTAACACTCTGTTGATGCTTTGTTCCCATACAGGCATGTCTGTCAGTAGCAATGTCTTCTAATTTTGCATGACAATGCATGAATCTTACCAATAGATATTTGTTTTAATGTTCTTTTTTTATTTTGATGATATAAGTACAAGAAAAAAAACAAATGAAAAAATTATTTCACAATCAGTCTGAACATTATAAGGAAAAGAACAATTGCTTTGGATCAGATTGTAAGACACAAAATGTGTGAGGTATAACATGGGTGCTGGGACCAATCTTACCAGAGGGATCAACTATGACATTCCACAGATAGGGATAAAGTTATGTCCCTTTAGTATTTTGGATGATGTGATATGGTATTTAGTTCCTAATTATGTTGATAAGCTTACAGCTGATGGTATATCAGAGACACTTGTTGTCTTGATAAACTTTTACAATTATTGGCAAGCAATTTTGATGCATTAAGAATGTAATTGATAATTTCTGATAATCTTCGTAATTTTTTTTTCTCAAAAGCTTCCTCTATATCCTGTCCCAGAGATGTGCAAGTAAACACTTCTGTAATTTATTGCCCACATTCAAAAGATGGAAATTTTACCAATTTTTTCCTATAAATTGTGCATCCAATGGTAAAATCGATAAAACATTTTCTGTTGCATTACTGTAGGTATTGTGTAGATCTGTAGTGGAGATGGTATGTATTAGACCATTGGTGTGAGGGAACAGGTTTATGTCAGTTCCAGGGACTTGCATTGTTAAAACTGGTGCTGAAATACTGCATTGTGTGACCTGCATCATCCCATTATTTTTTTTTTGTTATGTTTTTTTAACTTCAAAGTTTATATTATATCTACTCTGACTTGTGCATTACGTACCTCAGCGTAACATTGGCTCAGGCAGTATTTAACAGTGTAATCCATGTTACTGAGTGCAATCAAATGTTTGATTCAACTTTTAAAATGTTCCAGTACTCGGTAACAAAACACGGTTTTAGAATTGGTGTTGGGTTCTTTTCTTTTTCTTTTCTGTTGTATTTTATTGATATTGGTAATTGTGAAAAACTTTTATATCAAATGACTTGCGACTTGTTGTAGTACCTGTTTATATAAGTTACAGTGAAGTGAAAAATTATACTAGCAAATTTTGAAAAATTTTGGCAGATATACAAAAGACGAATTTCTTCATAATGTCGTTTTTGAAAATCCCTTTTTTTTGTGAATGATAAAGATACATTTTTATTTTATGAAAGAATATTTTTGATGTTGTGTAGACACTTATTCTGTTTGAAATTCCTACCATCAGATGTGTGGAATGTCGTAAAGCATTTTGAAAATATCTAAAAGATTTTTTTTTTTAAAGAATTCTGTGATAGCTGAATATACTATGTATTTTAAACACAAGTGTATGGAGCTATACTCTGAAATGTGCAGGGTTTTCACAAACACATGTACATCCTGTTTTTAGTGACAAATAGATAGCATTTGCTCATAATTTCTTACATACAAGGTTAGTAATCTCAAATTTTTCAGTATTAGATATTAAGTTGCTTTTAGTGAATGCACACAAATTAGAATCTCACGAGGTAAAGATGTCCTTTAGATCAATGATTGACAGGGTATTTTAAACAATATTTTATTCTATACGAGGCAGTAAATTTTTCACAGTAGATTCTGACTATCAATATTACGAAGTTTAACAGGGTATTTCCAGGTTGTCTCAGAACTCTATTGATGTCTAGGTTTTACTGAACTAACAAATTGAAAAGTTATCAAATTTTTAAAGAAATATTAAGGCAACCATCACATAAAGACATAGAATGGAATGTTGCAAGGTTTTTTGTGTAAAATGGAAACTAGTTCAGTATTTGGATATTTCATATAAATCGCTGAATATTGTGTCTTTTTTAGTAGGATCCAATATGACAGGGGACTATTATGTGTAGATATACATGTATAGATTAGCTTTATTTGACTGTGTCGGAGGTGTGGAGCCTAACGGTCAATAATACAGAAATGCTGCATCCTATTTAAGCAAACACACTGCTACAGTAAATTTCATGTTTCTAAAGATTCAAAATAATCTTGACATTCTAAAATTGATTGAACAACTAGCTCAAAAATGTGCAGAATTAAGAACAAGATTTTCTGAAAATCAAAATTGCTAAAATCAGTAGACTGAGTCAGCTGTCTACATTGTACTACTAATACATAACTGCCGTAACTAAAAGTTTGGTTTCCAAAGGTGCTATCTGTTTCAGCTTTTCTTTTTCATTTTTTTTCCTCAAAACACATAAGACATTTCATGATCATCTCTCATGTCAATGGTATGATGCACATGTCTGTGATGTCGGAACAACTGTGATACTGTGCTTCATACAATCAACTTTATTTTTCCATCAAAAATCTGCAAAATGCAAATTTCCGTTGAAGAAAAAAGGGGGAAGACGGACTAGATTAGGCATTCATCAGGTCAGAAAGTGATCTTTTTATTTATTTATTCATTTTTAACCACTGTATTTATATTTTGCAAACCTTTTGTATTGTATACTGTTCTGTTGCATATATGACTATATGACTGTTACATGTGTAGACCTTTGGGGTATATTTTAGTTATATTGAGATTTTCTTGACATTTTGATGCAAATCATTACATGGTAAAATGTGGATCAAGGTTTTTTTATTGCAAGAGACCAAGATATCGACCAAAATACAACTTAACTTTGTGCATGGGTGTGTCCATTTTATTGTAGAAGGAAATAACAATGATTTAAGTATAATAATCAATAATTGTTATGATTTATTCTTTAATGTTGATTTTATTTCCTGTAAAATATCTTAAACCGATTCCAGGTAGTGCTGACTGATCAATGTACCAGTAATTATAGGACCGGTAGACAAAGCCTTATTAGCAAGGCGTCATAGCCTATATAGCTATATAGAATTCATTGACTTTTGTTTAGACCTCCCGTCTTACAGAGTCGGGCAAAGAATAGATGAAAACCTAATGGGAGGTTTGATATAGGAAATGCTATGCGTGTATAGAAAATGCTTTTATTGAAATTTGATTCTGCGAGGAAATAATATTTGTTTAAGAAATTAATTTTATAATGCCATATTTGCCAAAATGCTCATATCATTTGAAATGTGAAAACAGGAGAAATAAAATCAGATCCACTGTACAGGAAATATTAATGCTTTATGCTTGAACATGATTTGCCAACATTCCTGTGGTATATTTCTGTGTTAGATATGAATACTTAATCTCACTGTTAGTATAGTTAACTAGATGTAGCTAGTCAGTTCTATAAAGTTAGTTACTTGCCTTCCTAATTATGTTACCTTTGACTTTCTTACAAAGGATGTTTACAAAGTTATATTTGTCCTTTATGAGTTATCATAGCTCTGTTGTTTAGTTATGTCTGATTTGATACACTACCCAGTGACAGACTTGGCCAATTATTTTGTCCAGTTTTTTGATACACTACCCAGCGACAGACTTGGATAATTATTTTGTCCAGTTTTTTGATACACTACCAAGTGACAGACTTGGTTAATTTCTTTGTTCAGTTTTTTGATACACTACCCAGTGACAGACTTGGTTAATTTCTTTGTCCAGTTTTTTGATACACTACCCAGCGACAGACTTGGTTAATTATTTTGTCCAGGTTTGACACTCTACCCGGCGACAGACTTGGATAATTATTTTGTTCAGATTTTTGACACTCTACCCAGCGACAGACTTGGTTAGTTATTTTGTTCAGTTTTTGACACTCTACCCAGTGACAGACTTGGTTAGTTATTTTGTTCAGTTTTTGACACTCTACCCAGCGACAGACTTGGTTAGTTATTTTGTTCAGTTTTTTGATGCACTACCCAACGACAGACTTGGTTAACAGTTTTGTTCAGTTTTTTGATACACTACCCAACGACAGACTTGGTTAATTATTTTGTCCAGGTTTGACACTTACCCGGCGACAGACTTGGATAATTATTTTGTTCAGATTTTTGACACTCTACCCAGCGACAGACTTGGTTAGTTATTTTGTTCAGTTTTTGACACTCAACCCAGCGACAGACTTGGTTAGTTATTTTGTTCAGTTTTTTGATACACTACCCAACGACAGACTTGGTTAACTGTTTTGTTCAGTTTTTTGATGCACTACCCAGTGACAGACTTGGTTAATTATTTTGTTCAGTTTTTTGACACTCTACCCAGCGACAGACTTGGTTAATTTCTTTGTCCTGGTTTGACACTCTACCCAGTGACATTTTTATACACTACACTGACAGACTTGGTTAGTTACTATCCATTACATTAGCATTACTTCGTTAGTAGACAAGGAAAGACAACTCTTATAAAAGATTGTTTGGCGAAATGCTAAAGAATTAATCAAGAATGTTTTTCTCAAAATAGTTTGTAAAAACTAAGGATGCGTTTAGAATTTTAGTGTTAATCGAAATATCAGCAAAATGAATGCATTGCTTTTGTTGAGTTGCTATGATAGGAAGGCTACAATGAAATGACTTTGATCATATATCTTCAGCATTATTATTACAATGTTTACTAGAGTGTTTATAAATGATCCACCCCCTAAAAACCATTGGATAACCCTAGATAAAGTCATTAACTGTAACCATGGTTGATAATAATTAGGATGATTTTTACCGAATGTGACTGATAATTTACATGTGATGGACCATCCAGGGTTGGTTGTAGAATTAAATATGACCTGTATAGTCTTTGTTATTGTATCCATAGAAACACTTTAAGTACGGTTAGTAATGATCCTTTCTTGGAAGTATTAAGTATAATGTAGAACTTGTTAGGTTGAAATTACTTACAGATATCCATATAAAAATATATATTCAAATTAGGTATGTTAATCCTCATTGGTCTATCCTCATATTGTAGGTGTGGCCTAAATACAATACTACTCCTCATTGGTCAGTCCCAGTATTGTATGTGTGGCCTATGAATATGTTACTTCTCATTGGTCGATCCTAGTGCCAATCACAGTATAAAATAAACGTTTGATTGTACACAAGTGTAATGAGTTGTGTTATTATTTTCATTTCGAAAGTATTTTTATTAAATCATAACCTATGACAATGATTGACATGCAAAATTGGTGAATAAAATGTACATGCATTGAGACAGTTGTGAAGGAATGAATCTACTTATTAAGTCAAGGCCCATCCATATACCATTCATGTTATTGCTAGTTCTTAACAAGTACTTGATCATTCTTAAATTTTATGTATAGATTCCCCTCGGTCCCAAGTAGTTCTCTATTGATTTGGGGAATTATCAGAAAAACAAAATGGTTGACAGGTGGATGTCTAGCATTTTGAAAGTGAAATTTTATTTTCGCAATTTCTTGGGAAGCACTGGATTGATCTTTCTCAAATTTCATATGCATATTCCCCTTGGTCCCTAGATGTGTCCTTTTGATTTTGGGACTGGTCAGAAAGACAAAATGGCCGATGGGCGACCATCTGGGAATGGACGATTAAAGATTGTTATTGCTTTTTGTTAAGAGGAATTTTCAAATTTCATCTAATTAAGAGCAAGACCAGAGAAAAGAACAGAAAAGTGGAGAAAAAATCCAACTTTTAAAGAACAAATCAGAATCAAACATAGTGGGCACCAAGATCCTTGTGTGATCTGTGTTAAAGCAGTTTCTTTATTGAGTATTTGAAAGGATATGCTTTCTATCATATTCATTTAAAGTAAAAATGTTTTATGAACAGTATTTTTTAACAATTCTGAAGCAGTGTTAGCACTTTTGCCGGATGGTCACACTAGTAAGCCATACATCATACTTATTTCTTGTAAAAATCAGGAAATCAAACGACTGCCTTTCTAGTGTAAGATGACAGAGCTATTGAGTATACCTTGCATTAACAGACTCTCCAGTGAAAACAAATAAGGTGTGAAATGATCATCGATACACCAGCTCCTTGACTGTTTTGTTAACATGTTAGGTTAATGTGGACCTGGATGTTATGTATTACAATAACTGTCCTATTGTCTTACACTGGACACTGGTAAAGCTTTTCACCATTTGTAACAAAATACACAAACACCAGTAATTTTCAGTATATTTCTGATTTATAATACATCATGTTTTCTATACAAATACTCAATGGACAATTACATTTTGTATAAAACAAGTATGCTCACACATCATAATTATCAAAACTGGATTGTTTACATGTCATATACATAAATAACTGACCATTGAACTGGTCACTTTTACTAGGGCAAGACAAATCCAGACTCTGCAAGTCTGAGGCCGACATCACAGGGACATTTCAATATATCACAGTCTGTTATTGTTACATAAAACAATGCTACATATATATATAAAACTGATGATAGAAAGACTACTTCCATTAAATACACATTTACATATGACAGTATTAGTGCCAGTTTATTTGTTCTTGTTGTTTCAAACACCTGTAACTTAAGTGATAAATTATACTAAAGTGACCATCAAGCATTATCAGATTACCAGTATCATAAGTGAGCTACATATGTAGGTCAATTTGAACACAGTATCGTAAGGAACCACATGACTCGATACAAACCAAATTGTCAAGTCCATACAGACTTCAAAGGTGACAGTACAGGTCACTTGATTTGTCTTAGCTAGAGGGAACTTCCATTAAGTCATGTGGTAAATTGTTTGGCTAGAGACCAAGAGGTTGCTTGTTCAAACAACTGCAGGAACAGAACTTTGATGGAGAGGTATACATGTAGAAGTCAAGATCACATGTTATCTTAACAGTCTTCATTTGGGTCAAGTAGTAAAGTGTTTAGAGAGTGAGAGGTCGCTAGTTCAAACCCCAGATGAAAATATTTTTATAACACTTTTTGACATACTTTTAAACCTAAAATGTTTATTCTAAATTTGAGACAGTTTTGGAGAATCAATTAATCATGTGTCATAACAAATTCATGTTTTTGATCTCATATAAGTGTCTAGCAGATCTACAACGTGATAAATTCACACAGTCAAGAAGGTTCTCAAACTTAATAGCCAACTGACCCAATCTATCGCTTCTGAAAATATCAATTTTCAATGCAATGTACTCGGGAGAAAAATTAAAATGTTATCGCAACAAACAAAAGTAAAAAATACAAAACCACCTAGTTTACACTAAACATAAAAAGACATAGTATGTCTTACAATATTATGTGATGTGTTTCAACTTAGTGTGAAATAAACATACCCATTGATGGTCGCAAAAAATTTGGTTTTAATTTGTGTTTTTTATTTGCTTTGGTTTGAAGATACTAAACTCATGAGGTGCATTAACTGGTTTTGAAGACTGTAGACTCCTGAGGTGTCTTGTTGACTTAAGATTGAAGACACTTAACTCATGAAGTGTCTTAAGTGGTTTTGAAGACAGTAGACTCCATGTCCCTCCGTGGTGGGTTAAGAGGTTTAACATTTGACATGATGTGTCGAGCATAGTCAGAATTATGTAACCCAGCATCCCGGAGCCTGTTTTCCAGTTTTATCCTTGGATCAGAGGTCACCTGTGCAGCAGAGGTTAAAAGTAAGTTTGCTTTTGTAATGAAGGTGACAGAAACAAATAGTTATACTAAACAATAAACAAACAAGAATCATTTCCATAAAAAATGTCTTATAGTGTATGGTAACAGGAAGAAAACAACCTCATCAATTACACATTTTCATGAAGCTCAAATTTTGTGGTTTTTTTTTAAAAAAAAAAACAAACAAACAAACAAACAAAATAATTCATGGATACCTGAATTCAAGGATAAATATAGATACCTAAATAAATACAATTATACTAATTTAACAGTCTGTGTAAATATATAGATTAAGAGTATCAAAAGTCAGATATCATGACCTGCTGACCACTTGGTCATTTAGAACATGTTGTTACATATTTTTACACTTGATTAAGATCATTTATTTACACAAAGTTGAAAGTCTGTTCTACCAGCCAAATATCTTGGCCTTGCATGTTCTCTTGTGATTTAGTTAAGTAATTTAACAGTTAAAGTTAAAGCTCGACAGATTTCTGATGATGTTAAAAGATGCATCATATAAGCTCACTTTCCCTTTAGTCAGGTGAGAAAAATGAGAACTAACCTGATTTGAAGTAAAAGAGTTGACCTCAAACAATGGTCTGTTGATGTTAATATCATCCTCCACTTCTTCATTAACATGAGCATCCCATGCCTAAACACACAAATATAAACATTCTGAAATTACATAATTCTCTTACTATTTCATTTTCAATAATACACAACTCTGTTTAATCCTTTACACACAATGCTTTTGACACTGATTTGATTTTAATCATCAAAATAGGAAATATCACTACAAATTCATGATTTCACAATGTATTGGTATAAAGAATTCCATGAAAGGGGAATAACCCATCTGTACCACTGACTAAATATTATGTGGAATTCAGACTAATATAGTACATAGGATAAATAAGACAATTATGATCAGCCTGTTATTGTTATTTTATTATTAATCAGGCAGAATGGTAGAACTTGACTAAGCCTTGATATTTTAATACATTCCAGATTGAGACATTTACAACATCTTAGATTGAAACTCACCTGTGTATTCTTCATTAAACGTTCTGGGTCACTCTCAGCTACCACTCTTACCTGGGTAATTAATAAAGGAGTTAACAGCAAAAAATCAAGTATTCAATATCCTAACTTTTATCATGTCTCTGGAACATATTAAAGGTCTCATGTCTCATACAGTTTGTTCCCTGTATGTGTTCAAGATCTATTGATCTCTGTCGAGGTGCCATATTTTGGCTAGTGGCAGAAAGATTGCCATGATAACGCCATGGCAGTTCATTAGTATATCAGGGAATAGATTGTGAAAATTACTATTATTTAACTAAAATGACATTGTATCCACATCATCATTCTGATGTATAACCAACAAGGGAGATAATTTATTTGAATAGAAAAATTCAGAAATTATAATAGTTGATAAACAATTTTCATGCAATTTTGACACAATTAAGTAGGCTAAACACAATCTATTACCCATATATGATAAAATATCAACCAATCTCAATCACAGGCTGATATTCTCTAACATCTCAATATCTGCTGCTTTGCCTCAAATAAGATTTTGTTACAGATTGTCAAAGCCATCTTCCATGTTGAGACAGATGATTGGCCTCAACATCTATAATAATGACATGTTAAAATATGTCGTTGAAATGTGATGAGGACAGTACAGTGATGATGATCTTTGTGACATATTCCGATTCACATTTCTCAAGTAAAGTTAGTACAATAACAGTAACGATTGGTGATATTCTAAAATCAGGGATCAACTTTGACTGAAATGTCAAAACTTGATCAAATCATTTATCACATGGTTTGGTTTCCTACATTTACTGGGTAGTTTTAAACACAATGTCTGTTGGTTTATTGATCTATTTAAATCACTTTGCCATTCAAAGATAAGTATGATAAATTTTGGATATGTACATTTGAAATCAACATAAACAACAATTTAGACAGAAAATCCATGCAGACACACATCTTAAGCCTTTTCATAAACATCAATCCACATCCTAAACTTAACCTATCAACAACTTGACTTGAAAGTGGGCGGAGCTTTTCTGTCATCATTGGTTAAAAACTAAGGAGCATTTGATTGGCTGAGAGCATGGGATGGAATGTTTTGAACATAACAGATCTTGGGTTTTGTTGATTTTCATAATCACAGCATTTTCGGGCTCAAATTGGATAGGGGATAGTATGTTTTTATGCATATACTGGAGATAATATGATACATTTAAGTGCTTATAAACCTACATTCTGCTGAGTTACCTGTACATAACGTTCTGTTGAGTTACCTGTACATAACATTCTGTTGAGTTTCCTGTACATAACGTTCTTTTAGGTTATCTGTATATAACGTTCTGTTGTGTTACCTGTACATAATGTTATGTTGAGTTACCTGTACATAACATTCTGTTGAGTTACCTGTACATAACATTCTGTTCTGTTACCTGTACATAACGTTATGTTGAGTTATCTGTACATAACGTTCTTTTAGGTTATCTGTATATAACGTTCTGTTGTGTTACCTGTACATAATGTTATGTTGAGTTACCTGTACATAACATTCTGTTGAGTTACCTGTACATAACATTCTGTTCTGTTACCTGTACATAACGTTATGTTGAGTTATCTGTATATAACGTTCTTTTAGGTTATCTGTATATAACGTTCTGTTGTGTTACCTGTACATAACGTTATGTTGAGTTACCTGTACATAACATTCTGTTGAGTTACCTGTACATAACATTCTGTTGTGTTACCTGTACATAATGTTATGTTGAGTTACCTGTACATAACATTCTATTGTGTTACCTGTACATAACATTCTGTTGTGTTACCTGTACATAACATTCTATTGAGTTACCTGTACATACATACAGCACTGTTTCAATCACCTGTATAACATTCTATTGAGTTACCTGTACATACATACAGCGCTGTGTCAATCACCTGTATGTAACATTTTATTTTTTTTCATACTCTGGTTAAAATTACCTGTAGCCGTAATGCTTCTAATCGCTCCTCTCTCTGTTTTTCTTCCTCTTCTTTATCCTCTTCCATCCTCTTCCTATCCTCAATCTTTCTCTGAATTTGTTCTTCTCTAAAATGGATCCTTCAATATCAAAAATATAACAAAATTAAGGAACGAGTATAGATTAGGGAATGAGTAAAAATTAAGGAAGGAGTACAAATTAAGGAATAAGTATTAATAAATTAAAAGTATAAATAAATTAATGAGTACAAATTCAGGAATGGGTATAAATCAAGAAATGGGTATAAATTAAGGAATGAGAACAAAATAAAGAGTGTATTTAGTCTTGTTGTTTTTTCAAACAACGAGTTGTTTCAGAATTTCATCCCAGTAAAGGGACCTTATACCTTTCAAGATCAAATTTAGCTTGTTCGGCCATGATTCTTTGTATCTCTTCCAACCTCTCTCTGTCCCTCTCCTCTTGCTTTTTACGAAACTGCATCTGCTCATCATGATATGCCGTTATCTGAAGTAATAGATACATCTTTTTATAAATAAAGTTAATAAATTTTTGAAACAGTTTTTTTCTCAAATTCCTATTTCAAATTAACAAATGACAGTTAGTGTACATGTATTAGAGCAAACATTTTCAGCCAACATCATGATTCAGGAGACCTCTTTGTAATGTCGCTACATAATAGTACATTCCAAAATCATAACTTATTCACTGATATAGACCCAAATGATTTTGTGTTTAGCAAAGAGTCCTTTTTCTTCCTTATGTTTCGTACATTTTGTATACTGTGAATCAACTTTTCTTTTTTTTCGACTACTAACATTTGCAATTACAGAAATATTACAAGTTCAAAGTGAATTACTTTCAGGAATTCTGAGCCATCATTGTAAAATTCAAAGTGCACAGTCTTTATTTAAACATCCTGGAAGTCTAAAATCTGGGTGCCAATTTGGCAACAACAGGTAAGTTACCGCAGGATATTTCAGCGGCATAGGTCAGAAGTGACCTGTTCGTAGAAAGGAATGACTTTTGACACCTTATTATATTGGCAAAATATCAAGAGGAATTTAACAGTCGTATTAATTTTTAAATTCAATAAAAAATATCTAGCATTATTGTTGAGATAGAAACATGGATGTGGAACACACTTATCTAAAAGCTTGCATAGTTTTGTATAAGGTGCCCAAGTCATAGTATTCAAAAACACTACAAAATTCCAGCCGAGTGTTTAACTTACAAAACAAGAATTTGAACATCTTTGAATAAAAAAATTTAAGAGAATACATCTTCCTTGACACCGAATTTAACCATAGAAACACATTATTCCTTTTTCCATTTGTTTGATTAAAGCCCCTACTTTTTCCATTTGTTTGATTAAAACCCTTACTTTTTCCTTTTGTTTAATTAAAGCCTCTACTTTTTCCTTTTGTTTGGTTAAAACCCCTACTTTTTCCTTTTGTTTGATTAAAACCTCTACTTTTTCCTTTTGTTTGATTAAAACCCTTACTTTTTCCTTTTCTATAGCTCTACGCTTTCTCTCCCGCTCTGCCTCCATCTTGTTGTAAATCTTCAGTTCCTCTTGCTGCCGCTCCAGCATATTCTGTTGGATCGTCAGGGCCTCCATTTTCTGACAGCGCCACTGATGTATCTGTGAATTATAAACCAGTACATACAAATGATCTCCAAGTTATTGAAATTCATTGATATGTTGTAAACACAACTTACAATAATTTGTAGACAAGTTGACAGTGAAGTCCACGAAAAACCAAGTTTGTATGCTCAAAGCTATCAAGTTCCCCTTCCTCAAATAAATTAATCAAGACAGAGCCAAAAGCCTTGGAAAAAGAAAAAGGAAAAACCTCTAGAAATCTGCTTTTTCAAGCAAAAAAGAAAAGAAATTCTTATAGCAGAACCAGTAGAAGATTAGAGTGTGACACTAAACTGAATGAATTTGGTGATTTCTCCTTTGCAATTCTTTGATCATTCATTGAACCACAGTGCCAAACATGCATCATTCTACAACTTTTGAAATTATATTTGTCTATTTATATCAGTGTTTCAAACAATGTAAGGTCTAATTTCCTGTCCACATTTGTATTACTTTAAACTGAAAAAGGATCTCCTAAAGTTCTAAACTTTTGACACAGTAGCAAGTATCTCTCTATATATCCAGTTGGAGGTAAAAAAAATTCTTCATCACAATAAGGAATATAAATCAGATAGAATGACCTCTGACCTTTTCGAACAGTGCCTGCTTCACTTGTTTTTGTTTACGAAGGTACTCAATCTTGACTTCCTCTAGTTCAGCTGCAATATCGGCCTCCATAAACACAGACTTTGCCTTGTATAGAAGTTCGTCTCTGGCCTTCTGCCAGGCTGCCAACAGCACTTGTTTCCGTTTACGGAAATACTTGTTGCTTTCACACCACTCTTCATGCATAACCTATGCAACACATGAAATTGAACACAACACATGCAGGTTGAGATAAATCATTTGTCTTATAGCTTCAATTAAGTTAACTTAATTTCAAAAATGTAAAAAATATTATATCTTACCAAATCTACAATATATGCCAGTATATCTATATTTTTCATGCCTTACAATTGATGGGGACAATTTTGAACCCTGAAATAAACTTATTTTTTTATTGATTATTAATAAAAACTGATTTAGTTACACTATCGATATCGAGACAAGTATAATGGTCTGGCATGTGTTGGTAAGGAGAAAAATCAGTACCAGTTGTGCACGGGACATTTTTGGTAGATGCCTTCGTAACCGATCAATAATAAGTTTACGTCTGTTTGCCATTTCATGGGAGTACTGTTCATAAACAATACAGAACAAAAAATGATCCTCCTCCGACCATCCACCATGTTTTCCGGAACTGAAATATTAAAATGATCATTGTACTGTAAAGGTGCTTAATTTGACACAAGCACATTTTCATGTTTTTAACAAGTTAGCACAATCAATATGTGAATTTTGTCTATACAAAGTAATTGCTATACATATCACACAGAAAATACAATTAGCAGAAATTATTGCAGCAAAAAACTTTTCAGTCAAAAAATAGGCTAAAATTGGTAGGTTTACCAGTGAAATACATAATTTTACAGTAATCTACCACCTGCTTGTTAGAGGATCTAAAATGATATCTAATATGAGTCTAAGGATTTTCTATTCTGCTGAGTCTCTGGACAGGTAAAATGAAGTCTTTATAATGAGTTACAGCAATTTCACAAAGAATGGACATAACTGTAAAATTCTCTTAATCACTGAAGAAAGATTATTTTGCAAGCATTGGTGTAAACAGTATTTGATTAATGTAAGATCTAAAGCATTTTAACTAGGATATTTATATACACTAACCTCGTTCAGGATATTTCTATACACTAACCTCGTTCAGGATATTTCTATACACTAACCTCGTTCAGGATATTTATATACACTAACCTCGTTCAGGATATTTATATACACTAACCTCGTTCAGGATATTTATATACACTAACCTCCTTCAGGACATCTATATACACTAACCTCGTTCAGGATATTTTGATACATTAACCTTGATAACCTGGATATTTCTAAACACTAACAATGTTTAGTGGGATGTTGTATGCACTAACCATGTTAAGCAGTTTATTTGAATACTGTACCCATGTCAAGCATGATATTTCTAAACACTTACCAAGTTAAGCGGGATATTTGTTTACACTTACCATGTTAAGCAGGATATTTCTATACATTCACCTCATGAACTTGCTTCACATATTGCTATTGAAAAATCTTAACAAGCTTACAGCATGAATATATGATATCAACTTATTTCTGATAACAAACCTAAGTATCAGAGAATGTTGATCCTCCAGGTAGTGTAATTTCTCTCTAAACACCTCATCCATGTGGATAAACTCTTGTAGAACATTGACCTTCAGATCATCATCTCTACATTCAAGGTCAAATGCTGCTTCTGGTATTCCCTGTTCTATATGAATGCTTGTATCCTGTTCCTCATGGATCATCTCACCAAGTTCACCTGTAAAACAAAGAAATCAATCGACAGAGTCACCATCAAATACTCAACTTTTTTATATAAAAATCTGTACAGTTTAGACTGGACACATGCAGCTAGATATATCTGTACAGTTTAGACTGGACACATGCAGCTAGATATATCTGTACAGTTTAGACTGGACACATGCAGCTAGATATATCTGTACAGTTTAGACTGGACACATGCAGCTCGATATATCTGTACAGTTTAGACTGGTCACACACAGCTAGATATATCTGTACAGTTTAGACTGGTCACACAAAGCTATATATATCTGTACAGTTTAGACTGGTCACACACAGCTAGATATATCTGTACAGTTTAGACTGGTCACACACAGCTAGATATATCTGTACAGTTTAGACTGGTCACACACAGCTAGATATATCTGTACAGTTTAGACTGGTCACACACAGCTAGATATATCTGTACAGTTTAGACTAGTCACACACAGCTAGATATATCTGTTCAGTTTAGACTGGTCACCTACATCTAGATATATCTGTACTGTTTAGACTGGTCACACACTGGAGATTTTCCATATCTGAGTTGGATACCGACCTATTCTTTCTCAAATACCTACCTAGTCCTAACTCACGCTCCAGACTTTGTTGTTCATACTGAAGCTTTTCCATGACTTGTTTCTGCTGTCCCTGGACTGATCTGATGGTCTCCTTTATTTCCTTGTGTTTCTGTACAATGTCAGGAGACCCCATTTTGAGGTCCGACATGTTTTCGTGCAGCCAAAACTGCAGGTCTTCCCTATTGTGTTATAGATTAAAGTATAATAGTAATATCATACAGTTCTTAAATTTTAAAACACTAATATCACAAGACAATAAATCGACACTTTCATTGTCTTGATCTTCATTCTAACCTATTGTTGATACTTCAGCAATTGTTTACTTAGTATCTTCACCAAATGATCAAATATATTCCACATGGTATACAAATATTTCAACCATAATTTTTAAAATTTTGACAATATTGAACATGAGTACTCTTTGTCTTGGTAATTTCTCAATGATTCTGGCTTCAATTTAGTCCCCAGAATCCTGAGATGTAATTCTAACAGATTATTTAAGCTTAAAGCAATGTTCCCTGTTGTGAAAATCTTACCGTAATTCCCATACAGGTTCTGCTGTCTGTGTTTTAAACTTTCCAAATTCCTGATCCAGGTGTGATTCATAGTCCTCAAAGTCCTGATACATACTGTTACATGGTCCTGCCTCTGTTACATGCTCTCGTCGATGTCTCTCAATCTCCCCTTGTAGTCGCTTTCTAAGACTGCTTAATCGGATAAACTCCTTTTGCCACACAAGTTTATGTTGTTTCATTAAATTATTTTCCTTGGTTTGTTTAGACATTTGTTCAATTTTTTTCACTTTGAGTAATGACTTGTGAGCCGAGAATTTTTTCTCTGCAGCCAGAAGTCTGAGTTTGTCATAGTCAACATCCTTGTACTTGTTGCTACGCACACCATTGTTGATTCTCATTACAATACGATCTGGAAAAAGAAACAATACCAATAATAATCTATTTGCTCGAAAGCAAAATAAATTTACTACATAACTCTTATCCTCTCATGTTGAAGTTGTTTAAATCGAAAAATAAAAACTTTATTTTTAGGAAGTTTATTTTGAACAGGTATGTGGTTTATTCATAGTACAATCACTTCATCATTTATAATCAATATTGTAGCCTGATTTATCCATGAAACAAGTGCCAATGAAAATGGATATTTGTGGAAAACCACAAAATTTAAGCCCCATGAAGATATGAGATTTTCACAGTACCATATATAATGCAATCTATTTTCAGTTCAAATCAAACTCCTTATAAAAAATAATGAAATATTTTAAATCTCTTCTCCGGTCACAGATGATAGAAATAATACTACCATTCTCATCTGAAGTGTACTGGGTGACAAAGTCCCTGGATGTATCAAAACCACGTTTTGGTGTCCCCATCTTGGTCTGTCTATTGACAAGTCTTCCTAATTATATGTCATATCAAATCAATCTGAAAAGACAACAACCAAAAAGGTTAAATTCAGATTTGTATGATTATATATAATATTCTTACCAATCATATTATGTTATATTGAATTCCATCAACATAAAAACAAGGCATTTCTAGAAGATAAAACTAAATCTAATTTAATTAGAACAAATTTCCATACTTGTTTAGTTTGACAGAAAAAATTATGAAATTCAATTTTAAATTTCAAAAGTTCTGTCAGTTTAATAAAATATTTTCTCTAGAATCAAAGCAGTGTGGTTGTAGAGAAATCTCATTTTCCACAGGCAATATTATATGGACAATAAGATTGAATGTACCCATATATTTGATATAAGCGACTCTTCACAAGATAATGAGATGAAGACCTATTAGATTTTGTCAAGAAATAAATGTACCTGTACAATGTATTTAAAATCTTAATAGCAAATAATACCAAACTATGCAATATCAATTTTGTTTGACAACAAATGTTACCAAATCAAGGTTTGAAAATGTTGATTCCCTTTACTGAATAACATTTAAGTTGTGATTTAACTTAGGTGAGAGACACTGTCAAAAACTCTTTGTAAAAAAAAACTAAAAAAAAAACTTTAAGTTAATTCATGCACAATTCAAGTATGGATGCATAAGAGATTTCACAATGTGTACATGTATAAGCTGGCACTGTCATTAACTACCAATAATAACCCCATAGTGAAATTATCTTCAGAATCCAAAGGTTACAATTAACATTCTAATTAGTTATTTCAAGATTGTAAATTATGAGGTAACACTTAAAAATTCAAGAATGAGTTGAGTGCTAACGAACTGTTACACTAATTGTACTGTAGTGAACAAGACTTAGACCACTTGATCAAATACTGCACCAGGGTATTTACTCATTAAGTGCACTGAGTCTTGTACACTTTCTTGTAATCTTGACTTTGTACACTGCTAGTTCAAAAAGGTGTAAATGTTTACCTGTACTTGTATATATTACCGTATATCGAATGTACCCATCTACAATGTATGTATATTGTTTATCATGACAGTCACCTATAGCAGACTTCGGTCAATGGGGATTTATTAGAACATAATGTGGATATAATGATGAAATTGAAATCAAGAAACTAAACGGATATAGATAAATATAAATATATATATATTATATGTGTGTGTGTGTGTGTGTGTGTGTGTGTGTGTGTGTGTGTGTGTGTGTGTGTGTGTGTGTGTGTGTGTGTGTGTGTGTGTGTGTGTGTGTGTGTGTTTTCTATATTCTGTAAGCCTAAACAACAGCTGAAACAATGTGTCCATTCAAAACAAATGCCTGGTGATTTATAGAGTTACAGAGAGATCTCCCATCCGTACACACGTACTTGTCACAGGGCTACAAACAACCAAAGTACAAATCTAACGTCCACTGGACAAGTGATACGCCATACATTAGTGTGTGGCTAAATGATGTATTGTCGACTGTAGATGCATAATTGGTTTTGTTTACAATCCATTGCCTGTACATGTGTAATGTAATTGTCATGCTTAACTGTTACAGTCATACAAATATATACTGTAACAGTATTAAATTGTGTGTCGATGGATCGATAATTGAATTTAATCTAAATTACTTTTAAGAAACAATTCTATACTAAATAAGACACCATACATAACCTAATATTATGAACATAAAAAATGTTTACCTTCCCTACCACAGTCGCCATTTTGGGTAAGTCTACTAACAAAACCAATAACACGAGTCTGTTTTCCGGATTTATTACCGCGGAAGTTCGAGTTATCTCTCTTAACGCTGTTCGGACAGCTTCAGACTTCTTACAGGTGGCTGTGTACAATCTGAAGTGCAGACGTCTGCGCATAAGGAGCTAAGGTAAGTATAGTATATCTAGGCTTTCTAAAGAAATTTGGATCATTTTGAATACATTTTGTTTTACATTCACAAATGAGATATACATACAGAACTAGTTTTTTTATTACCATTTTGTAGGATAGGCCAAACATTAATATTCTTGAACACTTGACAGTGCACGTGCTTTTTACTGACGATTTGTTGCTTCATTTTGTTTCACTCTCAACGTCTTTTTTATTTTAATCAATATTCCTTATTATTTTGAATACCAAACCACAGTTCTGGTAACATTTGTATCAATATACAAAACCAAAAGTATTTTGAAACAATGTGATAAATTTCAGTGCCATCAACAGATATGTATCATGTTACTAGTACTGTGCAGTGTTTAGATATACCGACAAATTGTTAAGCAAGCGGTCCCATTGGAACCTTGGCTCACACAATTGTTTATTTGTTGTTCAGAGTTTAGTTTTTTGTTTTATTTCGTTTTCCCCTCTTTTCTCTATGAAATTTTAAAACCTCTCCCAGCTTGAAAAGGCCTATACATATATATGTGTAATTGAAATATGCATTTAAAGAAAGTTTAACCATTGAAACTTCTTTACAAATCATGTGATCACATCATCAATTGTTGCAGAAGTAGCTATAACAAACTGTCAGTGTCAAATTTATGCAAGATGGCTGCCTCTCAGCAATTTTTGTTTGTTTTTCTAATTAACCTCAAAATTAGAAAGGTCACAACTAGGGATTAAGAGAAACTTGTTTATGAAATTTGAGAAAGATCCATTTAATACTTCCTGAGAAATTGCAAAAACAAATTTTCATTGTCAAATTTGTAGATGGCTGCCTTTTGCCATTCAATTTGTTTGTTTTTTTTTTTTAAATCTGACCAGTCTCAAAATCAACATGGCAAAACTAGGGATTAGGATATCCAGTACTTACTAAAAAATAGCATAACAAACTCTAAGCCATTTTGTTAACCTGATATGTCCTAAAATCAACAGGGCAAAAAAGTAAGGACCAAGGAGAATCTGTATATGAAAAAGATCCATTTTGTACTCCTCAAGAAAAACTGATAACTAGAACTGTTTTCATGTATGCTTGCAATTTGAATAGTTAAAACAGAGCAGGCCCATTTGACAAGATTATGGTCTCAGTCACTCATACAGATCTGAACAACAAATTCTCTGGTCTCTGACCATGCTCTGTATAATACACCTTTTTTTAAAGCTAAACTTTACCTATCCAATTATCAATGTATGCCCATCCTTTCCTGACTCTTGCTAGTGACTTCCACAGTTGAAGCCCAAAAACCCTTTTCACTTAATTTTGAAGGTTAGCAATGCATGCTACAAAGTTAAGATTTGAGACAAAATTGCCTTCAAAGGAATGCATGGAACACATTTTTTAGTCATTTGAGCAGCTTTTGAAGAATCTGCAAAGACAATGAGTTATATTGTAGTAGCTTACTGACATAAAGTATTGGGGAAAAATCCAAAACAAACAAACAAAATACTTTAACCCCAATTCTAAACCATAGGGGTTAAACTCTAGGGACACATAAACAATATCTTACCCTAATGGCTTGTAAATATTATAAGTATTGTTAAATGATAAAAAATAGTTGCTTTGGAAAAACAAATTCCTCTGAAGAATATAAATGTCTAGAGTTGGAATATTGTAACCGTAGCTTAATCAAATAAATGACACACCAGAATGACATTTGACCAGTAACTATACATAAATTGTTGTTACTTCCTGAATGTATAGAGAAAGGTCATTAAAATATAGGACATATATTGAAGGTCAAATTAAGATTTGTTTTTGTTCCAAACCTCTGTAACACATCTGATCAGACATTTATCATTTAGTTTTATTGTAACTGATGAGAAATATACATGGCTAAATGCACTGACAGGTCATATGACATTTGAAGTAATATATGGTTAACCTTTTCTCCCTTGGCAGGTATTTGAAATGATAAGACATAAATACACCAGTAAGGCTACTGGTTTGATCTAGGGACTGAAATTTTTTGCCATGTTGATATCAAAATATGAGAACATTTATCATTATCCTAGACGGTTTTGACATGATGTTCACGTTACACGGTGCTCTTTTCTGACCGATGATTTGACAACTTTAACATTTTCACATCATTCTGTTTGTTAATATTTGTGAGAGAAAAACAAATCCCAGACAGAAATATTGATTTAAAAAGAGCATGACTTTGTTTGTTTCCCTAATAGCTGCAAGATTCTCAGATAGTGATCTGTTTCCAACACAAAGTTCCTGTGTTGTGAAAAAGGTTGGTTAGCCTACTGCTCATACATGTATTTGTACATTTATTATATAATTCTCAAAGAAAAGCCATGAAAGCTATTATAGTTCTTTTGGCAGGAAGTACCAAAAGGCAACCAGAAAGGTAATTTTAACCTTTAATTTATTTCCTTCCTTCTGGTCTTGAAAAGGAAACTTATGAAATTTGAACAACTTGACAATGGTACCCTTTAAATCAAAAGGAGAAATTTTTAATGTAGTCACTCTATACATGTTGAATCAAGCTAACCACACTTTAGATTGATGTTAATATTTCATACTGTGCAGTATTACATGATTACATTGTGACATAAGTGGTTAATTGAAGAAAAAAGTGGCTGAGATCATATTTATGTCAAGTACTGACGCCTTCTATACCAGAAGTAAGATCTCCATCTCCATGATGGTGAGACATTCGTCACGGAGACCTATGCAGTCCCACTGAGTGGACAGAACTAGTATATATAGCTCAACTATATTATATATTATAGACATTCTGGTCAGAGTAATTCGGTTTCCTAAAATTTAAATTCTAAAAGAAATTTTGAAATATAACACAATTACAAAGTTGTTTGTGTTGGGGAGCTTTCAAGATAAGAACTTTTTCCAGATGTGCTGTAAAGTTGAGTTAGACTGAGTTATTTATAAACTGGTGCCTTTGACGATTTTTGATCGGACTCCGATATGTCTGATATCTGTTAACTCACTCAGGGTCATAATATTAGACTTCAATCAAGGTTCACATTTGAGTATAATGAGTTCAAGTGACGATAAATTGTGAGTTCA